TGCTTTGGAGTGTTTTGTTTAACAGAAGTGACAACCAAGCACAGACTTAGCATGACCTATTTTTATATTGAGAACACAATGCATTTGCTTTGCAGACAGCACTTGATTTTTTTAACAAATGTTTTGCTGAGATTGGATCCATGTCATGGGTATAGTTAGGAAGTGCTGAATGCTTCTCTCTTCCTCTGCTCAGTGTAGTTTGTGATCAATGCCTCTTCTTCATTTAGCAATTTCACACTCTAGTGACTCCTTTAGACTTCTGTAGAGATGCACAAATTAGACAACAATTCCTTAACCAGCATGTTATGGATATTTTTGGATAAGCTGAAGTTGTTTTGACAGTTCAGTTATGAAAATAGTAAAATACCAGTGTTAGTACTAAAGAAGGCTAAATGAAGTCTAAACCTTACTGTGACTGGATGTCAGTTCCTTCTTTATGCTTAGTAACGATGTCGCAGTTGCAGAGTGCAAGACTTTACTTTTTCTGCATAATGAGCAGAGGTGTGTTTTTTGTTTTTAAATATGGCTGAATGGAATGCCTGATGTGCTGTATTATTATTGGCAGTTCTTTTTGGGGAAACAGGTATTTTGGTGTCCTAAAATCTTTTCTTGTAATCGCATGTTCTCACCAATTGATTTTATTTTGTGTTGTGATAAAGACGATAGAGAGTTGCAGCCATCGTAACAGGGGATTGACTCTTATTATCAAAGTTATAGGCACCATGAGGTGTAGAGTTCTCAAAATTCAGAATCTCATGGCATTTGGTCTTGTATTTCTTGTGGTGCTTGTTTTCCATAATTTAGTAGCAATGGCATGAATCCCAGATAATTTGCTGCTCCGCCTTGTGTCTTGCCCACACCTCCACCTGCTGGCTACATCCCTGCTTTTACTGTCTGTGGCTCTAGGGTAATTTACTCTAGACAATTTACTCTACTACAAGGACACATCTCCTGCCTTGAGAACTGCTCTGAAATTTAAGTGCTTGAGAAGATGGAGTGGTTGGGAACTCTTTTGGGAATCCTTGTCCTAGAAAGTGCAAAGGCTGCAGTTGTTGATAGGGCTCTGAGGAGATGAGGATTTTCCCACCCCTCCTCCACCTATTTCTCCACTGCCAGCAAGCGGAGAACAAGTTCTGTGCTGTCCTAAACACCATGTCTTTGATTAGTGGAGAACAAACACTCCTCTCTCCTCTAGAGCTTGCTTCCGTCCATCTCTAATAGGCGGTAGAAGGGTATCTCCTGCCTCTGAACCAATGGGAAGTGTTGGGTTATCAGGGCCAGGTAGGAAGAGATTGGAGAAGCAGAAGAGAAAATGGAAAGTTGGGTGGACCTGGAGAGGCCGAAGTAAGGTAGAGATGGTAGAATACATATAGAAAGCCTATGGCAGGCTGCCTGCCTTGTGTCTGTTTTTCCATGTTACTTCTTTCACTAGCGGGTAATTCTGATCTAGGTATATGGGTATATGTCTCCTTGCCTAAACTCTGCTGGCTTGCTTCTAGCAGCAGGAGTATGGGCAGTAGAAGGTGCCAATTTGATAAATGTAAGTAATTATTCAGTAGCCTGCTTTCTTCCTATGCCCCCAAGTCCCTGATTCAGCTTGTCCCCTTCTGTCTTTCTCTTCTTTGTTAGACTTTAAAGACTCACAGAACAAATTATTCACAGTAGTGGAGGAGAGAACTTCCAAGAAGTCAGGGCTTGTAGGGACAATGAGATTGACAGCAGTTGTGTTACAAGTTCGCTTCTCTTGCTCTAGAGGCTGCTTTTGGGACAAATGGGTACTGGGATTTTGTATTTTAGGAAGACTTGTTTCAGTAATGTTTAAAGCAATGCCAGTATTGGAGAGTCCACTGGAAGTGGATTAGAGGGAGAAGTAATACGATCACTATCAACAACTGCTGGTGTTTCTACAATTAAGTGAGGTCTGTACATTTAGCTCTCAAGGCACATGATGTACCCAAGCACTTCTAAAGAATTTGTCCAGTGTTTTTTGTAACTTGGGCATCAGATCTGGGCAAGTGTCTTCAGGTACGCTTGTGCAGTTGCCACGGTCACTCCAAGCCTATCACTAACGGGTGAAATGGTCTTTGTAAATGGCTTTTCCTCAGACTTCTCTGGGCTGACAGGTGTTCAGTAAGACAAATTGTTGATGGCCATAAGGAGTTTCTCATGGAACAGGAATCACGAGGTCCAAATGTCTGAGGTACAGGCTATAGCAAAAATGAAATAATAGACAGTTTTGAGCTGATATTCTGCACTGTGTGCCTCTTAGAGGCATGTTATGAGGTAAATTTTTCATAGAAGCAATTTTCCACTTACTGAGCCCAGCTTAACACTTACTTAATTTTAGTACTTGAGCTATGGTACAAACAGTTAGTGTTAGAAAATGATGGTCTTTCAACATTTAGTCTCAAAGTGACCTGTTCACCCTGTCACATCATGGCATCTGCTGTTATTCCAGATTAGCACTATTTTCTCATCCTTTTGACTTTTTTTAAAAATCTTTACAAAAAGGCAAAACCTGAACTATAAATGCAATTATTTCCACAGTGCTGAACAGGAGCACTAGGGATGTGCTTCTGAAACACTGCAGCAAGCAGGCTGGCTATGCCTTGAAAAAGCAGGTTTCTTCCCTTCTGATTTTCACAGCTGCAGTGTTAAGCATAAAAGCAGTGAAGTTAGAGTATGTCTGACTCTGTCCTCCCACACTGGCTTGTTTTTCATGTTGACTCCATCCTGTACGATTGTTTCTTTTAGCAGTCATCCAGGTTTCTGATTTTTTTTTTTGCTTTTCAAGTGATCAGTTAGCAAATCAACATGAAGAAAGTTGCAATAAAACCTAGCCTGGAAATTTCTTGCCCCAAAAGACAAAATACACAGACAAGGCAAAAAGAAAGGAAGCCATCTGTGAGTTAGCAAAGACTGGCTTGCAGAGGAGCTGTGTGCAGAGCAGTTGGCTTTCAGCTCTGCTGCTGTAGATGAGGAGTCTTTGCTTGCAGTGGGGTAAGGAGAAGGGGAAGAATAATAGCAAGCAGAGGGTGTGTGTTATAGGAGGGGAAAGACATGCCTGTTTGGCATTGCTCTGACTTAGTGTTTGAGATGCTGCAGGAAATGAGACATGGAGTGGAAGCTGGGGGAAAAGGGGTGTGATCTCGTCTCACCTCTCTCCTAATTTGCAATCCCTCCCCTCTCAAATCTTGTAATGCTCAGTGTGGAGCAGCAGCGATGCTGAAGCTGACTTCTGGTCAAAGCATGGCTGCAGAGCAGTGGTACTGCTGACAAGGCTGGCTGGCAGTGAAGGAAGGAAAACCTGAGCACCCTTGGAGAAAGGAGGAAGGGCAGCAGCAGCCCTGCGGCTGGCTCCCCAGTGCTGGGCGGGAGGAGTTCCTTGCTTGAGCTCAGCTGGGGATGCCTCTGCCGCTGGCTGCAAAAATAGTATTTGGTGAGAGATCTTGCTTTTCACCATTCATTTTATGCAGTGGTCTTACAGTGCTGTGCGGGGCCTGTGGGGACTCAGGCGCAGCATGCGGCCCTGGGCCTTGCTGCCAGTTGTCCAGTGTGCTCAGCGTACCATGCAGCTTGCCTGGGCTGGGCAGGGCCAGCTCTGGGCATCGGGCACCTCCCTGGGGATGGGCCAAGGCCAGGCTGGGATGTGGGCCTGGCTTGGTGGGGCCCATGGCCAGGGAGGAGCTGGAGCACTGCTGTGGTGTTGCTGGGGTAGGGGCTGATGGCCCCAGGGGCTGATATGGGGTCCTGGGCCGTGGGGGAGTCCTGGGGAGCCGGGCAGGGACAGTCAGGGCTGGTGGTGTCCCCAGGGCCCTGGCACTCAAGTGAGTTTGGCTTCTGGGACTGGCTTGCCTGTGAGCAGAGCTCACTTTAGGATACGTTCTTATAAAAGCCTTCAGTCCTGGGTGTTTCTTAAGGCTGTCAGGGGCAAATGTGGGAAGTTTGGCCTTGTGGGGAGAGCTCCAGGTCTGAAAAAGAGGCTGTGACATGGGGGTGTGAGGTACGTTAACGTGCGTATTGGAGACTGAGCTTTTGAAAATGTTGGTGCAGACCCAGCTGTGTTATCATAACCAGAGCGACTGCATGGACCCTGATGAGAAGGTGTGTGTCGTGCCATTAATTTAGTTTTCATGTAAAGACTCATTTTTTGAAGCGCCTTTGTATAGCCATGAAACCCATTTAAATATCAATTTCTGGAATGATGTTTCTTATCTTAATTTCCTCATGTCACTACAGTTTGATATGCTGAAAGATTCTGCTTGTCACAGACTCTTGGTGCTGCAGATGAAATAGCTGTACAAGGCAGAGTAGGGGAAGGGAAGGGAGAGGATAGGGCAGGCTAAGCCCAGAGCCCATGAATGCTGTGTGGAGGGACTGCAGTCTTGTTAGGGACTGGGGGCTGGCCAGAGGCGTTAAAAGGAGGAGAGATGGTAAGAGCCCAAGTATTGTTTCTGATCCAGTATTCTTCCAGAAGTCAGCCATGCAACCCCCTCCAATCACTTTGTCATGGAAGTGCAGATAACACATGATAAAAGGAAGTACAGGAGCTGATGACTTTTCCGATCGTATCTTCATAACATTCAGAGTACTGCCTGACCTGCAAAGATTCATGTAGGTAAGGTAAAAAGGATTAAACTCGTTGGATAATAGTTTCTTTGCAGCAATGTAAGCCAGTCTTGGCTGCTGCTGTGTTAATGGTGCCTTAAAGAAAACTATCAGCAGGCTAATGGCAGCTTTGAAAACAGAAACTTAGCCAGCTCCATCCTATTCATCTCCAAAGAGATGAACGTTTCCAATCCTAATGATCCATTTAACTGCCAGTATTAAACACACATCTCAAGAAAAATTATATGCAGTTAAAAGGAAGAAGCCTGTTACATTTAACATTGAGGCTGTGCGATTGAGGATAGTCAAGCAACTGGAAGACAGATTTTTAAAACTGAGGTTAGTTTTAATTTGACTCTTACTCACCGAATTTTATTCTTCCTGTTTCCCAGATAACTATTTACCTTGACTGTGCTTCAGAATTAAAGCAGTCTCAAGTGCTCAAAGGTTAATGAACAAAGCTTCAGAACTAAGGGCTATTTCTTCCACATTAGAGATGGAAATGATCACTTTATGACTTGCCCAACGTCACACACACACTTCATGGTAAGATCCTACTGTAAGGTTGTTGGACTCATTCATCTATTTAATTGCAGGAGTACCTTCATTCACTATCTGTAATTCCCGTTTCCTAAATGTGGAGCTCTTCACTCTTTTCGAGAACACACTTCCTTGTGAATCATAAACTTCTGCAAGCCCTGGGTAGGAGTCTTGTAGTGTATGAATGAGTTAGGTGTTCAGTTGGCATGTTTCTTCTGTGTGCAAGATAGCCTTGCATGTAAAACACAGCCAGATGCAGAGCAGGTGGACTAACCTGGGCTCCCACGCCCGGTGCACTCGTAAGCCGAATGGATCACTGTGTACCTAGGCACTTCAGTCCCATATGCCCGTTGCTAGGACTGCTGGTGTCTTATTCTCATTTTTTTTGCTGCAGTAAACAGAGCAGCTCTTTATTTCCCAGTGAATTGTGGGAACTTGTCTGTCCTTGGGGCATGTTTTGAGGGGGAAGGGAGGAAGATATTGTGGGAAAGCATCAAATTACTGAAATTGCTTTAGGGCTGTAGTCAAAGGGCTATAATCATCAAAAGGTGGAAGAGTACCAGCCCATGAGTAAGCAGCAGCGGGGTTTTTGCCTGTAGCTCCACATAGGCCAGGGTGGCTGGGAGTGGAGTGCTGAGTACATGGTGGACTGACTACTTTTGTGGGTAGGAGCTTGTTAGGAGCAATGCATGAGTAAAGGCCAAAGCTGACTTGCTATAAAACAAAGTGTTAAAAGAAGGCCAGGGTATTTTCTTACAAATAAAAAAAAAAAGTCAAACAAGACAGATACCATTGCCTTGGCTGCTAGGGCAATATGAAGATGCTTTGATGTAAAACTTTGGCCCAGTGCTCAAAACAACTCTTATCACCTGAGCCAGATTGCCAGGTTGAATGTGTATATAACATAAGCCACCAAGCTGCACTTACCAAGGGATGAGTAATTTTTAACTGCAACTTTAATTTACCCTCACTTGTTCCTCTGTGTATTTGGAATCTTCTAAATTGGAAGATTTGGAAGCTCAACCAGCTGTTATTTCTCCTTTGGCTCTATCTGAAGTATTTCAGGATTTCACCTGAACATTCTCTGTTTGAGTGCATATATACTAGATTCTCTTCAAATTATAAAAAGTAGTTTTCTTCTCTGTGTACTCTTTCTTTACTTAAAAACAACACGTAGGAGCTTAAAAATTAATCTGCTTTCCTTACTGTCTTTGCATAAGTAGTCATCCAGAGCTACATCTGAAACCACAGCAGGAAATGAGTTCTGGTCTGCATAGAAACAAGGTGAAACTGATGTCCTAATTTTTCTGATTAAGTACATAATTGTTTAATCTCTTTGGATTGGAAAATGGTGTTGCAAGTTTGTGTATTTTGGTTTTGAATATTTTTGTGTTACAAAGTGACACATGACTTGGCTTGTCTTTATTCAGTGGTAGATGCCAAAGGCATTATATGAAGGATCTTCAGTATTTTTAAAGTGGAATACACATAAGAGTACTCTTGGCACAGCTCATCTCCTGCTTGCAGCTGTAGGTAATGCGGATTTTAAACAAAGGCATGTTGGATGTGTTTGATCTTAGTAAGCAGCAATGGATTCTGCCACCTTCTTTTAACTCTCTATTCCATAGGGCAGTTAAAAAGCTTGGGTTAGACTCCTGGTCATAAAATGCTCCCTGGATGCCTGTATTCTGCTGTGCTGAAATGACCAGGCAATGGCTGCTGCACCTGTTCCATATTCAGTACATTTTATCCTGTGAACTCTTGTTATGGAAGGTAGCACTGCTTATTATGAATGTAGGATTTATTAGGGTCCTTCCTCCTGTGCTTGGCATCATGTGTGCAGGTTCGGACTGACCCTTTGTGCTTTTTCTAAGCTGCCTGCCTGTGGGAGGAATATGGATACAGTGTCCCTTGCACGTACCTTTACAAGCTGTGAAGATGGGTTTGAGGGGGTTGCTCCATCTTCTTTTTTCCAAACCGTCTGGGTTTGGAAGAATTTGAGGAGGATTAAAAGTAGCTATTTGGTAGCTTTGGGCAATAATGAGAAGGTGGGGTCCTCTAACAGTGTCCAGATGTAGCTACTTTAGCAACATCTCAACATTTTTCTCTTCTTTATTTTTCAGAAAACAGTTCTCCCTCCCCCAATCCTTTGTTGTCTTTGAGCCAGCAGATAGACCTCTTAAATGGCCCAAGCTGTCCAAGCCCTCTGCCACAGGAGTGAGTCAGATGTTTCTTAAGCTGTTGCTCTGACAGTGAAGTTCAGTAAACAGGGACGTGCAGGGGTGGAAAGTGCGGTTGCTGCTGTTCCTGGAGGAGTTTGTAATGTCTAACCACATGCTCTTTCTGGAGACCACCTGAAAGTGGTGAGGTGAACTTTAAACTCTGCTTTCACTGGCCATTTGAATGGTTAAGAAGCCTAGCACTAAGTGAAGGCCAGTGGGAAGGAGCTGATGATACTGCTTTGTGCTGACTGGTATGACCCTGTGCCAGCTAGTGCCTCTTCTGAGCTAGGTTGAGAATGCTTTGGCTTGGGTTTGCTGGAGCAAAGCTTGCCTTTGGAGGTTGCGTATGTGTGCAGCCCAGCTCCCCTTCGTTGGAGGAAAAGGTCTATCCAGGAGGTTGGATTCAGGCCAATTACTGCATGAGAAAATTCTCAAGCTGCTCCTGTATTTTGGCATGCTCACTCTCCCTGACCAGCTCTTGGAAAAGCACTAGTGTTTCTTTAGCATTGAGGGTGTCAGACTGCTCATCCAAACTTCTAATTTGAAATTGAGTATTCTATTATCAGCTGTAGCCTGAAGTGATTTTTCAAAATCCACCTGTCACTTTGATTATGCTGACTCTTTCCTTGTTTTGTTTCCTTGTTCATTGATAAGAGAAAATATTAAAGAAATGTGCATCCCTTGCAGATTGTGTCTAATGTGGTATGCTAACATGTTTTAGAATGCCTAAAAAGAGAGTTTTAAAGAAATATGGTAATGTAGGTTGGACAAGAGCGATTGCATGCAATTGTGATGCTGCATGGGGACTCCTCTAAAGCTCAGGCTTTTAATTTGGGGAAAAAAAGAGGTTTTGGGGCTACCTGAGCATTGATTTACCACTATCAATATTAAAAGGGTCCTCTTCCACTGCAAGAAAGTCTTCTGAGCTGGTGCTACAAGGTACTTGAAAGCTGAGCAGGAGCAGGTTTTTTTTATGGCCATAAACACTTTTTTTTTCCCAAGCTCAGAACAGCTTGCTGAACTCATTCAAATACAAATCCTGAAAGCTGCTTCTCTGGCCAATACCAGTTTGGACTGCTGCTAGAACAGGGTTGGTTGTATCTTAAACGCACTGAGTGTATTTGTTTCCATTATTAAGCTAAAATGGCAGGCTAGAAGTGTTTGGCAGAAAATCCATGTGTGTGTCTTCTGCTATGCTAATTCTTATAACACTAGCTTGAAATTGGCCAGAGGGATAATGGTATCATAGCATGATAACTGTAGAATTTAGCTGCCTAGTTTCACAAAACTTAGAGACCCCATGAGTATCTTCACTGAAGGGAAGATCTTCATCCTTTATTAGATGGTAGTGAATCCACACAGGTAAGCTGTTATAGCTTTCTATATATTTTTAATAAGAGAAGAGCTTTATTTGGGCACCTGAGAATAAAGACATGAATTACAGGAAACTCATGCTTCCTTAGCTCTGGTGCTCCCCAACCCGTGTCATTGTTTCTGCTCTGTGTAAGAACAGACATGAGGAATCCAAACACAACTGTGGTACGTAGCCTTCTTTTTGAGTAGCTCCTATGTTGGTCTCTGACAGACCAGACATAAATCTGCTACTCATAGCAGATCATAGTGCCATCTTTTTATTTTATTTTTTTAGTTTATGGGAGACAATGTTCACTTTAAAGTGGTTGTTGTCTTAAAGAAAATTACCTGTTAGTAACAAGTTAGACTTTGTGAAACATTTTCAAGCTACTCATCATCCCCTGAATCTACTTTGTTGATGTGCCATTTCATTGGTAGTCATTGCTCTTTTGTGTGCCACAGTGTAAAATAACAAACAAAAGAACAAAACAACTCACCTCAAAGTACACCACCACCACCACCACCCCCCGCCCCAGATCCCAGTGGTCCTGTACGTTACCCTGGGAGCAAGATAAAGCAGGGACAACAGAAATATGAGACAGGAGCAGCATGGAGCTTCCTCTCTTATCTTTTTTTCCCAGGGGGGGACAGTGTAAAATAACAAACAAAAGAACAAAACAACTCACCTCAAAGTACACCACCACCACCACCACCCCCCGCCCCAGATCCCAGTGGTCCTGTACGTTACCCTGGGAGCTAGATGAACACTAATTACTTCTACAAGAAGTCTTGTGGAAGTCAGCTGTTTCAGGATGCATGGGATGTAGTTTGTGCTGAAAACTATTGATGACTGAAATATTTTAAAGCAGGGAAACAACAGAAATATGAGACAGGAGCAGCATGGAGCTTCCTCTCTTATCTTTTTTTCCCAGGGAGGGAAAGGGAGTGCCTGACTTTGATCTTACTACCTTCCTTCCACCTGCTTCTGCGTGCATGTTCATGCAGTTTCATGTCTGAAGACTTGATTATCGTCTCTGGTGTTCCTGGAATATCTCCCATTTGAGAAAATCTGTAGGTGGAAATAGAAACAGGCCTGTGAGAATCTGGAGGAGCAAAGATTATGGGAGTCTTCCTCATGAACATGTTTGTGTCCAGGCTGATCTCTACAAGGGCCTCACATCTTAGACTTTGGATGTTTGTAAGAAAAGTAGCCAGTTAAAAATAACTTGATTGTTTGTTTAACACGGTATTATACTTTGAATTCAAAGTTCCTTTGAACTGGCTGTTCTGTATTAAACATAGACTAGCACACAACTGATACTTTAAATTAGACGTGCAGGAGTGCTTCTGGATTCCTTTTGATGGCATCAGTTCTGTACCATGATTGTGAGGTCAGACTTAATGGTGTTTCTGTTTGCAGAAGGTGTGTGA